ACTAAATTGATAAATTATACATAGATCTCTCATGTTTATCACTTAATCATTTGAACCCTTTTACATTTATAATATTACTCATATATCTCATGACGTTCGTGCACGTGTAGTACGTAACCTCTTTTCATTGATATCTGTTAATATAACCGTTAAAAAATATGATTTTATCCTAATAAAAAATTATAAATTCATATTACCTTTTATTTTGTGGGTTTGATATATTCTAAAGTCCAAAATCAAGCTTACAATTTGAATATCCAATAGAATGTTTAGTTTTTTATATAATATTTTTTATATTCAATGCAATATATCACTCAATGTGCAACCCTTTATTTTATTAGACATTCAAATGGTAAACTTGATTTTGAACTTTAGAGTATATTGGACCCATAAAATAAAGAGTAATATAAAATTATAATTTTTTATTATGATAAAATCATATTTTTTAACGGTTATATTAACAGATATCAACGAAAATGGATTACATATTACACGTGCAGAAATGTCATGAGATGTAGAAGTAATATTCTAAATATGAAAGGTTTCAAATGATTAAGTGACAAGCATAAGGGGACCTAGATATAATTTATCAATTTAGTTTTAGGTGCACACTAATACAAATTTCTATCTTTTAAGGTGCAAGTTGAAATTTTTTATCTTTGAGAGTGCACATTAATACAAATTTCTATCATTGAGGGTGCTAATTGAGATTTTTAATATTTCGGGGTACACATTGATACAAATTTCTATCTTTGAGGGTACAAATTAAAATTTTTGATCTTTGAAGATGCAAATCGAGATTCAAACAATCTTTCAGCGTGCAATTTACAATTAACCCTTATATTAATAAATGTTATGTGGTGTAGTCATCTATTAATAAATAAACAAATTAATATATAGATCCTACTAAAATTCATAATTACTCAATCATGTAACACATAATTATCTCAAGTGGGACTTATTTATCCCTTTATTTTTTTTTCTTAGATAGTTACACTATATTAGTGGGGCTAACATAATGTAAAAAATACATATAATATTTACTTGGATGGATGACTTGAGCAATTATTGGATCCCCATTCTATCAAATTGCTAAAAATAACTCACTTTTTCGTAAATCAAACCAATGACATATAACACTGACAGGGCTCAAGTAAACTTAGGACATATTTAGATTGCGAGTTAAAGAGGATAACTCTGGTAGAATAGGATAAAAAAATATGTGAGACTCATACATCTCACGTTTAATAAATAAAAAATGCAATGAAAATTTCATTCGAATTTTATTCCAACTTGGATTGAAAAGTTAACTTAACTCATATGGTTGGATTAAATGAAATTCAAGAGGGGATTGGAATCTTTTTTGCCAAATAGGATAACTAACACAAATGACCAAATTGTCCTGTTTTCTCTCTCTCTCTCTATCTCTCATTTGCTTCATCTCTTCCTGTGTTTTTCACAGATCTGATTTTATTTTCAACACATTTATTTTGTCAAAGCAAGTATTNTTTTTTTTTCTTAGATAGTTACACTATATTAGTGGGGCTAACATAATGTAAAAAATACATATAATATTTACTTGGATGGATGACTTGAGCAATTATTGGATCCCCATTCTATCAAATTGCTAAAAATAACTCACTTTTTCGTAAATCAAACCAATGACATATAACACTGACAGGGCTCAAGTAAACTTAGGATATATTTAGATTGCGAGTTAAAGAGGATAACTCTGGTAGAATAGGATAAAAAAATATGTGGGACTCATACATCTCACGTTTGATAAATAAAAAATGCAATGAAAATTTCATTCGAATTTAATTCCAACTTGGATTGAAAAGTTAACTTTAACTCATATGGTTGGATTAAATGAAATTCAAGAGGGGATTGGAATCTTTTTTTCCAAATAGGATAACTAACACAAATGACCAAATTGTCCTGTTTTCTCTCTCTCTCTCTCTATCTCTATCTCTCATTTGCTTCATCTCTTCCTGTGTTTTTCACAGATCTGATTTTATTTTCAACAAATTTATTTTGTCAAAGCAAGTCTTTGTCAACATGCCTCAAGAAGACCAAGACGTCTTCTCCAACAATACAACTAATTTAAATAATAAATTTAATTAACTCTAATAAAATAGTATCCTATTTGGACTAAGATTAATTAACAACTAATAATAAAATAACTAATTAACGAGAGATTGAGTTAAATTTCAATAGTCATCGTAACATATGAACACTTGTCAAGAAGATATGAAATTATATCATTTTTAAAAATTACATTCAAGAAAATTTTGTTTGAAATTAATCAAAGACTAATTTATAAACCAACACATGATGTTGGATTGGATAGATTAGGGGCAAAATAGTAAATGATGTCATATTTCATCACTCTTCTCTATGGGTCCTAAATAAGTGTTTATATGTTATTCAAACATTGAAAATGATACGATAAAACTATGAAATGTTAACCAATCCAAATGATAGAGGGGTTTGGGTTAGATAAAAAAGATTATTTTTTTATATCTCCAACCTAATCTAACCCTGTCATCCAAAAATACCGTGGGTGTTTATTGGGAGTCTATAGAGTTCACTAATCTAATCATTTACACTTATTTATCAAATGAAATTTTAAATGTTTTTTGGCAAGTGTAGTTAGTCTTTATAATTTTCGACACCACTCGTAAATTTGACTTGAAATCAACACTAAATTAGTGAATTTATGTTCAAACCAGTCAAATAACTAAGTTGATATAAACTCAACTAAACAATATACCAATTCATTAAAACCTGTCAAATGACTTAATCGATATGAAATCAGCTAAACATAACACGAACTTGACATGATATGAATTCGAATGTATACAAATATAAATAGATCGGATATATGTTGAATAAATTTTAATATTATACAACTTAGACATGATACGAACTCAATATATGGCATGTATCTGACGTTACACTAATATAAACAAATTATGTATGAATTTTGATGGCGTGTTTTGCACAGCTGAGCAAAGGCGTATTGTTTATGGAATTTGGAAGTCACTAAAATATCCAGCTAGAGCTTCTAGGCTCTTGGGGGCTAGGCGATGTAATTTAAAGACCAATAGACAGAATGTTTATAGTGGTTCACCAGCTTAAGAGCACAGTTAGCTCACTTTAATAGAGTCTCTTGCTCATGGAAAAATTTTCTATTAATCGGGAGAGGAGATTACACTGAGTAATTGTGCAAATAATTGTTTGACTACATTGTGAGGGATTTGATCTCTTTTTATAGTCTTCAGATATCTTGCGTGATTGCCTTGTGTGATCCTTGCACCTTCTGATGATAACCAACGCTCTCTTTGCGTAATCAACGTTGATGTTGATGCGGTTGCTACTCGTCTGCCAGAATGTTAGATCGTTACGAGTGTACTCCCTAAGTGTGACATGAGCTTCTGGAAGGTGTTTGTTGTCACTGTTATCATCAACGAGGGTCTCATTAACGAAGGTTTCCAATCTATGCACCCCGAGCTAATGATCATGAGCTGCAAAATTCGTGCTTAGTCATCCGAGATGGATGTACCAAGATAAACTATAGATAACTTAAGGTATCATCAAATTTAATAAATGTTTGACACAGTACATTTTAGACATAGAAAATAATATTTAGATTGAATTTGTTGATTTTATGTATTATAATTATTGAGTCGATTCTGAGTTTAAATTAATATTGAGTCCATTGGAATTGCTGTTCGGACAATACACGACATTTTAGACATAGAAAATAATATTTAGATTGAATTTGTTGATTTTATGTATTATAATTATTGAGTCGATTCTGAGTTTAAATTAATATTGAGTCCATTGGAATTGCTGTTCGGACAATACACGACATTTTAGACATAGAAAATAATATTTAGATTGAATTTGTTGATTTTATGTATTATAATTATTGAGTCGATTCTGAGTTTAAATTAATATTGAGTCCATTGGAATTGCTGTTCGGACAATACACGACATTTTAGACATAGAAAATAATATTTAGATTGAATTTGTTGATTTTATGTATTATAATTATTGAGTCGATTCTGAGTTTAAATTAATATTGAGTCCATTGGAATTGCTGTTCGGACAATACACGACATTTTAGACATAGAAAATAATATTTAGATTGAATTTGTTGATTTTATGTATTATAATTATTGAGTCGATTCTGAGTTTAAATTAATATTGAGTCCATTGGAATTGCTGTTCGGACAATACACGACATTTTAGACATAGAAAATAATATTTAGATTGAATTTGTTGATTTTATGTATTATAATTATTGAGTCGATTCTGAGTTTAAATTAATATTGAGTCCATTGGAATTGCTGTTCGGACAATACACGACATTTTAGACATAGAAAATAATATTTAGATTGAATTTGTTGATTTTATGTATTATAATTATTGAGTCGATTCTGAGTTTAAATTAATATTGAGTCCATTGGAATTGCTGTTCGGACAATACACGACATTTTAGACATAGAAAATAATATTTAGATTGAATTTGTTGATTTTATGTATTATAATTATTGAGTCGATTCTGAGTTTAAATTAATATTGAGTCCATTGGAATTGCTGTTCGGACAATACACGACATTTTAGACATAGAAAATAATATTTAGATTGAATTTGTTGATTTTATGTATTATAATTATTGAGTCGATTCTGAGTTTAAATTAATATTGAGTCCATTGGAATTGGTGTTCGGACAATACACGAATAACACGAATAACACAAATTCCTACATTTATTATTGTTAGGTAAAAATAGGGAGCGGTCAGATAGCTAACCCGTGCCGTGCCATGCCCTGCCCTGCCGTTCCATGCCGTGCGACCAACACCATCCGCATATGCCACCTACCACACACAAACCGACGAATTACAGTGCAATGTAGCAAACTAAACTTCTTCGCATCTACTATATTAAACCCAACATTCTAAGTCTCTCCCCGTGTATCAAAAACCCACATAATGAGTATCATAGCTCTCATTCTCTTCTCTTCCATCCTCGGGTTTCTTCTCTATTGTCTCTCTGCCCTTCGTAATCGCAAACTCGTACCCGTAGCACTACCTCCAGGTCCAAAACCATGGCCTATTATTGGAAATTTACCACACCTAGGGACCAAACCACACCAATCCATTGCAGCCCTGGCTCGGACCTATGGTCCGCTCATGCACCTCAGGCTCGGGTTTGTCCATGTGGTTGTGGCAGCATCGGCGTCGGTTGCAGCGCAGTTCTTGAAGACCCACGATGCCAACTTTTCAAGCCGACCACCCAACTCTGGCGCCAAGCATATTGCTTACAACTACCAGGACCTTGTGTTTGCACCCTATGGTCCTCGGTGGCGCATGCTTAGGAAAATTTGTTCTGTACATCTTTTCTCGGCTAAGGCCTTGGATGATTTCCGCCATGTGCGCCAGGTTTGATCGATCTCTTCCCTCTTCCCATACCCTCAATAATTTAGTATGACACACACACATGCATGCACGCATTAAATGTTAATGTTAGTCGTCCTGCACCCAGGGGCCAATCAGCTGCCCCCATTGGAATTTTAAAAATATTTGGGGTATACGTATAATTTTTAAAAGCTCTTCTTTGAGAACACCACGGCAAAGGAAAATAAGCAGCGAGACCCTGACGTCTTCCTTCATCTTTTTCTAATTTCTGCGCTAACTTTGTTTGAGGCGTTCCTCTTTGGTATTCTCTGTTCATTCCATCTCTTTGTCTTCCCTTCCACTTGGTTTGGCATTGATTGAGCGAATAGTTTTGATTGAAACGAGAGCTTAGGAGATTCAGTCAGAGATGGCCTACAATAGGTAACCCACAAACCATATTTTCCCATTTTGATAGCTTTTGCATTTTTTTTTATTTTTTGGGCGGTAGTTGAGGTTTTATGTAGTTTGCCTATCTAATTTTTTTTCTCAATAGTAGACAATTGAACTTAGATTTTTGAATTTGAATTGAATGACTATGATTCGAATATGCAATTTTTTGATCTGTTTAAAAAATTATTTATAATTGCAACATCTGTTGAAAATTAGAGGTTGATGAGGACATAAAAGAGTTCGATCTGCTTAGATTGAATGCCTACTTAAATTCTTTGATTACTGGGACTTATATTTGTTTGTTAAAAAATTCTTTGATATTCTTAAGTGTTCTATTAAATTCCGAAGTGTTATTGGGGCTTCGTTGCACAGGTGGAAGCTTTCAAAATATGAAAATTAGTTGTGCAAAATTATGAACATTTACTAGATGTTCGAGAATTTGAATTTTTTCATGTATAGACTCTAGCACTATTTTTTCGTACAATTTTTTTTTCTTTTAGGTCTTATCAACAACTTTATAGTAGGTGTATATAAGGTTTGTGTCTTTAATTGACATTCTTTTAATGTAATTATACTTTTGTGAACATTTGAAGTTTAAATATTCATATAGTTTAGGATAGCAAGGGATTGAGATATGAATAAATAAGGTAGAGAGATTTCGGAGCGAAAAAACAGACAGTTAGGTACAATTGATACGAAGTTATGAATACTTAAAAAAGTAAAGAAAATAGAGGAATTATAAATATCTTACATAGACACCAAACCTCTACTTCTCCCTTTCTAAGAAAAAGTCCACCGTGCTGGAAAACAAATTCAGTACCATATTACCGATTATAATTTTTTATGGTAAAATTACAATTTAAAAAAAAAAGTTACAATCTATATTAAACGGATTTATGATCATTAAATCTAATAACTATCGCTTTGAATCAAGTATAATTTATTAGATTTATTTGATGATCTATAATCAATAGAGAAATTATGTTTCATTAATGAAGTGATATCCCCAATGAAAATAGTAATTCAGATTGAATGCGTATAACCATGCCTTAGACTCATAGAATATGTGGTCAGATGAAGCCCATGGTTGCCAACGTGAAGTCCCATCTCCGTTGGGTAAATTTAATCCACACCTTTTGGAGATAAATCTAACTTCAAAGATATTTGTTACTTTTTCTGAAATTTCATTGCAATCCCTTATAGTGTCTATTGCAAAAATATTTTGGTTAAATATCAAATTTACCCTTCTTCTTCCCAACAAACTCCACCATAGGCCTCCAAATTCTTCACCCACCCACCAACCACCCATGCATATGTAGACTTAAATCTACCATCACCACAATCCAAACAAAATTCAAACTCTATTCACTCTGCTTATCACCAAAGGCATTGCAAAAACTATCAACCCAATTTCAAAATAACTCTTCATACACGCAAAGTCAGCATACTTCTTTTTTCAAGCACAATACCATATCCTCTACCACCAGTCTGTCATAAAACAGTCAGCGAGAGAGAGAGTCCAATTCGAAATAGGCAGCGCCCCTAATCACTGTCCTAAAATGAATACTCAAAAGTCGAATGAAATGGCATCAACCGAGACATTCAACCACCTAGCGGCAAAAATCACCATGGCAATAAACTCAGCTATGAGCACCACCCATCCACCACTGAATTGAAATCGCAGGGATTCAAATAACTTTAAACAAATCAAAACCCAAATACGAATTACCATTATGCACAACCACCCTCCCTCCTTTAGAACCTCTAGCTTCCACCACTGACCACCCACTCCTCCCTCTCTCACACTAGGCGTTACAATAATCACAAAGATTTTCGCTTTGCGAGTGGAGTCATATTTATGCCTGGATTTTTGAGTGGCATTTGGTGGCTTATGGGAGTGGATGTGGTGGTGTGACAATCTAGAGGTTTTTTTGTGGTTTTGGGATGGGTAGCAGTTACGACATAAAAACGATGGATTAGGTATTAAAAGTGGGGTAAAATAAATCAATAATTAGGTTTAACAATAATAAAAATAAAAATTATTTATTTGACACATACTTTATTATTTAATTTAATTATATATATACTTTATTTTTAAAAAATATTATTATTTAAATATGTTCATGTGTAACGCACGTTGTACATTATTAATGTGTATGTGTATATATGTGTGTGTGTATATATATATATATTTGTAGAATGGTTAGGAATAAATTGGTAAAATAGACATTTCTGTTACTTCACTTCCATTACCAAACAAACATTAACAGGGTTGCCAGTGAAATTTTATAAAAAAATAAGGGGTGTGAATAAAATTTATCATTTATTTATTTAATGCAACTTGGCTTATGTTTACATGATTGACGAAATAATAAAAAAATAANAAAAAAAAAAAAAATTACATGAACTTAATTTGTTGATTTAATATGATATTATCATTAAACACCTCTAGCAATAGACAACAACCCTTTCTAATTTAACATGTTCCGATTGAAACATTCGATATTTGGCAATCTTAATGTTTTATTAATGTTTATAGTTTTTTTATATATGATGTATTGATGTTTATAACTTTCTTGTTGTATTTTATTGTAATTATTTATATATTGTCAAATTTATTGTTTTTTTAGTGTTGTTGGTTTATTGTGGTAGTTAATTGGTACATGTTACTTAATTAAATTGTTAAAATGATTCAAAAATTAATAATTAAAAAATATGTATTTATCTAATTTTTTATCTAATTATTTTGGACAGAATTTGGATAATAATAATAAACTTGGTTAAATAAGGTAAATCAAAAAAAAAATTCAAAAAAAAAATTGAATATCGTAGGATAGAATAGAATGAACACCCTTACTTTCACTCATTCTTTCAGGAATTTTAATTGCAGGAGGAGGTGGCAATACTCACACGCGCTATAGCAAATGCAAGCAAGAAGCCTGTGAACCTAGGCCAATTACTGAACGTATGCACGACAAACGCGCTGACGAAGGTGATGCTGGGCAAAAGAGTGTTCGGTGACGGAAGCGGTGGTGAAAATCTGAAGGCTGATGAGTTCAAATCAATGGTCGTGGAGTTGATGGTCCTGGCGGGTGAGTTCAACATCGGTGACTTTATCCCTGCCCTGGAGCCCTTGGATTTGCAAGGCGTGGCAAAGAAGATGAAAAAGCTGCACGCGCGATTTGACTCATTCTTGAGTACGATTTTAGAAGAGCACAAGATGAACGGTCCGGGTGGGACTACACAACACGTGGACTTGTTGAGTACGTTGATTTCGGTTAAGGATGATGCTGACGGTGAGGGTGGGAAGCTTACCGACACTGAAATTAAAGCCTTGCTTTTGGTAAGTCTCTCTTTACTTGTCTTCCATTTTCTCTGTTTCCTTTCTTTTTTGTTTTTTTGTTGGGGTCATTACAATTCATGTTGCTTGGTGTATGCAGAGGGTCCTTCGCAAATCTTCTTGATTATCTATCATTTACTATAAATCTAATGGATCACCCACTAATGCATTTTGGCGAATTTAATACCGGAAAAATTAAAAGAATCTGATACTAGAGTTATTTTTATTATTAGGATTCTTTTTTGGGAATGATTTAATTGTTATTTTTGTTCTCTTTTTTCCGAGTGATAGAGTTTAGTCTTATGTATGGTTGTACACTTTACTTATTCTATTTGACATAAATGTTCTTTTACAACATTCCACTTAAAGTATGATAGGAAAATCAATTTTGAACTAGTGAAAATAAAAAAGAATTCAGGTTTTGAAGANAAATGTTCTTTTACAACATTCCACTTAAAGTATGATAGGAAAATCAATTTTGAACTTGTGAAAATAAAAAAGAATTCAAGTTTTCGATANCTTATTCTATTTGACATAAATGTTCTTTTACAACATTCCACTTAAAGTATGATAGGAAAATCAATTTTGAACTAGTGAAAATAAAAAAGAATTCAGGTTTTGAAGAGCGTCAATCGCTTGTTTAAAGTGATATTTATTCTCTGTCTACAAGTTGTTAAATTTGTTTTTTTTTTTTGACAAATAACTTCTTTGATATGACAAAACCTTAAAAGAAATTCTCGTTGAGGGGATGTTTGTCCAACAATTCCACATATAAAATGTTTAGAGAATTCCATTAATCTTTCTTTTAAAATTGCTTACCAATAAAACTAACATTGAATTTGTGGACCAATATTAATTATATAACATTTATATTTTAAATAATAATTTATTTTTTCTTTTCTTTTCTTTAGTTATGTAATTTAAAACTAAAATGATTAGGGAAAAGGGAAGAGGGAAGAGAGAAATAGTGTGGATTAGTAAGGTTGCTTGATATTTGAGAATACTAATGTTATTGAGACATAATTTAGAGACTTATATATTATATTTTGACCATTAGATTGATAGTGGAGTGAATGCTAGACCCACTGATAATCTAATGGTCATAATCTTTAAATTTTTAAATTATGTTCTCAAATTATTTTTCAATAGCNATAATTTAGAGACTTATATATTATATTTTGACCATTAGATTGATAGTGGAGTGAATATTAGACCCACTGATAATCTAATGGTCACAATCTTTAAATTTTTAAATTATGTTCTCAAATTATTTTTCAATAGCATTGCTTATGAACGCGTTGGTCAAGTTGTTTGACATTAGAAGTAGTGCAGAAAAATTAATGTTTTTGAACGTAAAAAAATAAAAAAAAAATNCATTAGATTGATAGTGGAGTGAATATTAGACCCACTGATAATCTAATGGTCACAATCTTTAAATTTTTAAATTATGTTCTCAAATTATTTTTCAATAACATTGCTTATGAACGCGTTGGTCAAGTTGTTTGACATTAGAAGTAGTGCAGAAAAATTAATGTTTTTGAACGTAAAAAAATAAAAATAAAAAATTNTGGAGTGAATGCTAGACCCACTGATAATCTAATGGTCATAATCTTTAAATTTTTAAATTATGTTCTCAAATTATTTTTCAATAGCATTGCTTATGAACGCGTTGGTCAAGTTGTTTGACATTAGAAGTAGTGCAGAAAAATTAATGTTTTTGAACGTAAAAAAATAAAAAAAAAATTGGGATGAATGTTATACTTTTGAGCCAAGTTAATCAAAGGGACAATAACGTTCGGTAGTAAACTATGAACTTGGCCCATTATTGTCCTGTTAATTAAGGAAAATGCTATGTTTATCAAAAAAAATTTATCAAATTTATATCTTAAATGATGTGATATAATTTTGACAATGAAATAAATAGATTTCATTAGTATTTAATAATAAAAATTATGCTATATCATTAGAAATAAAAAATTTAATAAATATAAAATTGCTGCTTTAATTGATTGAAATGTTTTAGAAGAGTCCAACACCTTGTGGACAGACCTACACGCAAGGCAAGACTCACATAAAAATATTTGGCGTTGACGGCGCATGGGTGGCATAGAGAGGCAGACAAGTCGTTGAAATGAGTGGTTCTCAAAGTCCGACAGACTGATAATTACGTAATCTTCTTAAATTATTTTTTATTACAATATTACTCATCCGCTCGAGTGTCAATCCGAAAGTCTATGCTCTGTAATACCGAAAAAGGGCCTTGAATGCAATGTCCAAAGAATGGGTCTCGGAGTAATTTAACTCATGTTTGGACAACTGTATGTTATATGAAGTTAGGATAGACTTTCTGAAATGAAACCACTATCTATCGTGACACTACAATACAATACAACACTGAAAGACCACGTCAGCAAAGTGAGCACCATTTGTACACACGTGATAGTTATCCGATTGTCATTCTTATTCTCGAAATTCGATCAATCTATTTTGCATTTTCCTTTATTTATTTGCTCATAAACAACTATTGCAGAATTTGTTCACTGCGGGAACTGACACGTCATCTAGCACAGTGGAATGGGCCATAGCAGAACTCCTCCGACACCCAAAAATCCTTGCCCAGGCCCAACAAGAGCTTGACTCAGTTGTTGGTACAGACCGCCGTGTAACTGAATTTGACCTTGGTCAACTAACCTTCCTCCAAGCCATCATCAAGGAAACCTTCCGGCTTCACCCATCCACACCACTCTCTCTCCCAAGAATGGCAGCTGAAAATTGTGAGATCAACGGCTACTTGATTCCAAAGGGTACGACACTTCTTGTTAATGTTTGGGCCATATCTCGTGACCCAGATGTTTGGGTTGAGCCACTTGAGTTCAAACCCGACAGGTTCTTACCCGGTGGTGAGAAGCCTGATGTTGATGTCAGAGGGAACGATTTCGAAGTCATACCATTTGGTGCAGGGCGTAGAATTTGTGCAGGCATGAGTCTAGGGATACGCATGGTCCAACTATTGACTGCAACATTGATCCATGCATTTAATTGGCAGTTGCCAGCGGGCCAACCAGCAGAGAATCTCAACATGGAGGAAGCCTATGGGCTGACCTTGCAACGAGCTGCACCCTTAGTTGTGCAGCCGCTGCCAAGGCTAGCCTGTCAGGCATACCTGGACTGAAACATGAAGACTTTCACAAGCGAATTATAAACTATGGCTCTTATTGTTTCAAGTTGATATGTGTTTACCAAAGTTGGTGCCACCAATTGGGTGTATTAGAGGTTCTATTTATTTTTCTTCGCTTGACAAGAAGGTCTATTGCCACAATGTGATTGAAGATGTTTCTATGGCCAGTTGAAGTCAAATGCACTTCCCCTCCCTTCCCCCACCCCCAAAAAAAAAAATTACACACACACGCACAAAAAATTATTTATTTGATTTTTGTTTCACAATAACTGAAGGGGTCGATAAATTTGATAATTAGACTATGGACACGTGATAAATTACACGTGCTGAAAAGAGTTATTTAGAATGACTCTATTATGATTGAGAAAGTAGTTAGGTTATTCGGGCCGAGCTAAAGTTGGTCCAACCGAGCAGAGGACAAAATCCGATTGAGCAGATAGCTAGGCTCTCCTGGTCGAGCTAAAATTGGTCTGACTGGACAAATAGCTAGACTATACCGGCCAACCTAAACTTAGTCCAGCCGAGCAGAGGATAAGATCCGACTAAGCAAATACCCAAAAAGTCAGAGATGGTGCTAGGCGATCAATAAAGAAATTGACTAAATTATAGAAACACATAATTAACATGTGACCTAAACCAGCTAATGAGAAAGAAAACCCTATAAGGGTCAAACATGAATTAAGGAATTAATGATTGAAATTTAGGTGTGCCAGCATATTCTAATGAGAAGAGTAGTTCTGCATAATCGGGGACAGGTTTTCTATAAATACCGGTAAAGGTAAGTACTCTAAGATACACACACTCTGTCTAGTAAATTGAATACACTTTATCGTGTCATTATTGAGTTAAGCTTCGGAATGCCTCTAGTCGGTACCCCACCTGTCTATGAGAGTTTGTTTGTTTTGCATGTTAATGGCGATCTCGAGTACTCATCCCAAACGAATCTCTTTGTTTTAATAGGTTNACACTCTGTCTAGTAAATTGAATACACTTTATCGTGTCATTATTGAGTTAAGCTTCAGAATGCCTCTAGCCGGTACCCCACCGGTCTATGACAGTTTGTTTGTTTTGCATGTTAATGGCGATCTCGAGTACTCATCCCAAACGAATCTCTTTGTTTTAATAGGTTCAGATTTTTTCCCCTACAATAACAATAGATTATGGTGGAGGGATGGGTAGTTTTGTCTTTTTGTAAAGATTATAAGGACATGTTTTGGAATTTTCACTTTGACTTAACTTACTACGGACTAAGACTCAATTTATATAGGACGAATTTTCACAAATTCTGTCAATTGGGACGAACTTTGTATAGATAGCACTTCAATCAAACTCGACATGGGATTATATGAATATTTGTAAATTATAAGTGGGTGGAATGCTAAANGACGAATTTTCACAAATTCTGTCAATTGGGACGAACTTTGTATAGATAGCACTTCAGTCAAACTCGACATGGGATTATATGAATATTTGTAAATTATAAGTGGGTGGAATGCTAAAACGTCAAACCATGAGGGGGTCAAATGAAATTCATCCTTTTTCTTTTTAAGACTGTTTAGAATGCATGGACAGCTCTAACAAATGTTACTCATTACTTGTTTGAGTCATTAATTCTTAGAGGCAAAGGTAAGGTTCTAGGTCATCATACGAATGAGTCTCAGATACAAAGCTTAGGTTTTTGTGGCGACCTCCATATTTTTATCTTGATAATTGTTTTAAACATGTAGTACAGAAACTATATGTACTCAGAAAAATTAGTTGAGTGTTCTAAAAGTTTAAATTTGATGGGGTGTGAAAATGAAAAGTGTGAACGAGGTGGGTCGGGTGAGCTTTGTAATTGATGGATAAGTTAAGAGCGTGTGTGAACAAAGTAACAGTAAGCAAGAGCACAAGGAAATAAGTGATTCACAAAACTGAAGAATTAGACTAGTCTACTATAATGGAGGCTTTTACTACTCTAGGTTGCATTACTTGGAGAAGAAGATAGTTACACTCTTCAGATTACAATTGGGCATCGTTTCGGAAAGGCAAAAGCTTGCCTATTTATACACTAGGGTAGTTTGGTCCTTAAGTAATGATGGTATAGTCCCCTAATTTGTTATGATATTAGAGGAAATATTTAGTCGTTAGAAGCCCTTCTCCCTAAACATGATATGACATTTTAGAAGCTGGTGTCATGGGATTTTAGAGATGGATT